CCCTTCCGATTCTCTCCCCCATCCCACCGGGGGGGAGCGAGCGAGCGGCTGGGTGGGGCTGAGTTGCCGGCTGGGGTTAAACCACGACACTAATTTGAGGAGTACGGCGATGAGACGGACACGCTAAGAAAAGAGGCAGCGAGAAGACCCACGCTGGAAGATTTACAGTCTGAGACAGGGAGGCTGAGATCTTCTGGAAGGGTGACCTGCTCTGAAGGGCCAGCCTCCAAAAAGCCAGCACCTTCTCCTGTTGACGATTCTGATGCTGTCCCTGCCCCTCCATCTTCCACATCACGCACCCTGTCCCTGTGTATTCAAGGTGTATTTCTGAAGTCCCCACCTACAACCCCTCCACCTCCTCATTACATTAATTCCTACAGGAAAAATCGCTTCACTCTTCATTGCACCAGGTCACCATCACACCTCAGCAGGCAGCAGATTATGGCCACACGTGCCCGGGCCTCCCCACCTCCCGTTCTTTGACTATTGCTCATTTTAGGAACCAGCTACCGGTTATCCTTGCTGGCATTCAAATCCTCTACGGGGGTTCTCATTCTCCCTAGTTTTCCACAAGGATGATAGCCTTGACTCCACCATCCTACAGGTGGCTGTAGGGTGATGAAGGGAGTCACTCTCTTCCAAGAGAGCACAGAACTCTTTTGGGATAAGGGACACAGAGTTATCCTAAAAGCTCCTCAGTTCTCTGCTTAGAATCATAGAATCATTAAGGTTGGAAAAGACCTCTAAGATCATCGAGTCCAACCGTCAACCCAACACCACCATGCCCACTAAACCATGTCCCTGAGCGCCTCATCTACACGTCTTTTAAATACCTCCAGGGATGGGGACTCCACCACTTCCCTGGGCAGCCTGTCCCAATCTTTAACCACTCTTCCAGTAAAGACATTTTTCCTCACGTCCAATCTAAACCTCCCCTGGCGCAACTTGAGGCCGTTTCCTCTCGTCCTTTCGCCAGTTACTTGGGAGAAGAGACCGACCCCCCCCTCGCTACAGCCTCCTTTCAGGTGGTTGTAGAGAGCGATGAGGTCTCCCCTCAGCCTCCTTTTCTCCAGGCTGAACAACCCCAGCTCCCTCAGCCGCTCCTCAGCAGACTTGTTCTCCAATGTGCTTATAGCACAGCCTCTGCTCCAAACCGCCTTGGAGCCTCCATCTACCCTGTTTCCCCTCTGCAGTTAAGCACAACTACGACTTAGCTCATGGTTTCGAAATTATCTTCCTCGTACCTCACACCACCCTCCCTCGCGCGTCCATTTTCTACGCTTCAGTCCAAAAGACTGCATCTCCTCCTAGTCGCTGTAGTTACGATGTTTTAATGCGCAAAGGGCCACGACAAGCCGTCAGCCGAACAAGGCACTTGAAAAAGGCCAGCTCCCCAGCTCGTGCAGCGAGGGAAAACAAGTCCCCAGCAGCAGATGAAGAGAGCGTGTACCAGAGAACGCGGTCTGGAGAATTATAAACATCTGCCTGCTTCTTCTAACAGTCTTTGAGCCAAAAGGCTGGAGAGCTGAACAACATCAGTAACTGCTCCACAACATGAGCAACAGCACGTCTCTGCTCAGCTTTCCCGGCACGGCCTAATGAGACAGGTTGCTGAACAGCAGTGAACATGTGTCTTGAATCGCCCTGTGAAGCCCGAGCGAGACAGCGCGCGGGAGTTCAGCCCTACCGCACCACCGGCTTTTCACCGCCTTTAAGTTATTATACCAAGGCATCAGGCCATGGGAGAGAGTTTAAATGAGTCTAAAGCTATATTAGAAAACTCCATCACACCAGCCTCCCCTCTCCTAACTCACCACCAGCGAGCTGTGTGGGCCGGGGGGAGAGCAGGCAGGGGACAGCACTGTCGGGGTGGGGGACGAGTCACGAACAGGGTGTTTGCGGGGAGAGGGTGTTTACGGGGAGAGGGCGTTTACGTGGACGGCGCTGCCCTCTCCCGGGTGCAGCCCACAGCGCTCAGCTGAATGTCACGCTCCCACCCCGCTAACACCGAATTTGGGCTTCACCCCTTGCAGGCGGCAAGAGCACCCTTGTTCGTGCCTCCTCTGTCAGCTCTGCAGCCGCTGTGGAGTTCCTGGGCTGTGGAAGCTTGTTGCAAAGCAGGGGCCGAAGCTGCCGGCAGCGGGGAGAGAGTCAGCAGTTTTCACCGTCCCCTGCCCGTGCCTGGCAGTGGAGGCACGTGCCAGGCACAGGTAAGCAGGGAGCTCCGAACACAGGGGGTGCTGCAGGGGGGAGGCAGCTCCCCGGGGAGCGGGACTGGAAGGAAAGAGCACAGAAACAAAGGGAGAGGCCGCAGACGTGCGGCACAGCTGGACCGTGTACAGCCGCCAGCCCTTCCCGAACCAGGGGGAGCACAGAGCATCCCTGTTGCTGCTCTGCCTGACCAGGCTCACAAATCACCCAGACATCCCTAAGCAGCAGCTTCCTGCAATTACAAGCAGCAGAACACATGTGCCAATTAGCTGCACACCAATATCCTCTTCGGCCCTTGATCTAGGCCAGATCTCAGCCCCGGGGTGCAGCAGAGCCGGGCTGCTTCCTCCGAGATCCTGGAAGGAGCATCCCCTGGCTGCAGGCCAGGAGGGCTCTCCTCCCCTTGCCGCAGGAGGACGCGGGGACAGCAGCTCGCAGCACCGAGCTCCCTGGATGCCTGCGGCGGGTGGGAGATCTCAGCCAGAGGGAAACACCAGGAGTGGTGAACACAGGAGAGCAGCAATGTCTGCTCCCGTCCTATGCAAGCTGCCAGGCTACCAAAAAAATCTTAATTCTGTACTGGCTGAGGGCAGCTCTTGGGGCACGGGAGACCTCATCACCACTGGGTTACTGAGAGAGACCAGGCAGGACGGCCAAGCTCTGCCGGGCAAGCAGCTCCGCCTGGTTCTCAGACACTTCTCTTCACCCTGCGTCTTCAGGACGTTGGTTTCCCCCCCCCCGGGCAGCTCCAGACTAAGTCCCTGGCGCACGCTGCAGATGAGGTCAGCGCCGTCCTGCCAGCAGACGGATTTCGTTAATGCAGCACTGCTGCTCACAAACCAGCCTGGGAACCGCTCGAGCCAATCCAAGTCCCTCCCCAGAGCTACAGCCGCAGGAGGACTCGGTGGGCAGAGAGCAAACGTGCCTCTCGGGGACTGGTCACACGCTGGGCCTGAGAAACGCGCTCGTTTGTCAAGACCCCAGTGAATTTAACGCTGCTAGACAGCTCCCGAACGATGCCACGGCACAGCCCCAACAGAGGAAGGCACGGCCAACGGCAACAAGGACAGCGAGAGCGCTGGAGGCCCGTGGCCTGTGGGACAGGAGCACAGGGACAGCTCTGGAGATGGCTCCATTCCCTAACGGGCACGTGCGCGGTCACCCAACCACAGCCACTTCCCTGACAGGTCGGCTTGGGCGGCACAGGCAGACCCGAGCTCTCTCCTGTGCTCCTTGCAGGACACAAGCCCCTCTCCGGGCTGGAGAGCTGCTGGCTCGGGCTGAGGAGCCCGTAAGGGCTGTTTGTTCAGAGACAGACCCCCACAAACGAGGCTCTGCGGCTTCTGGCCTGGAGGGGCTCATCTGCACCACGCTGCGCTGCATGGCCTCACGCTTTGTCCTCTCCCAGCACAGGGATCTGCCATCCACCTTCCAATTCGCAGGCAACTGTGCTCGCCCTCCCTCCCGACCCGTTCCGGATCCGAGAGGGCGAGGTGAGTACCCCAAGGGATGTGGGAGCAGCCAGCCCCCGCTGCTCTATCCCAGGAGCTGTGCCTTGGGATGCCCACCCAAACACGAACCAGTGCCGAGTCACGGCAGGTAACGAGGATGAGCCCACCCCTTCCCCAAGTGCCGACAGAGCTTTCCTGCCTTCCCACCCCTCTGCAGCCCCTGTTCTCTCACACCTCCCTAAAGCCTGCTCACCTGTTGACTTCCGAAACGTTGTTGATCCTCGCAGCTTCCAGCAGAGCATCTTCTGAAAACAGAGAAAGAAGAGAAAGCGAGTTAGCAACAAAACACACTTACACACGTAATAACCCGGAGGTGGCACAGGCCACTGCAGCAGAGAAGGCAGGGCCTGCGCTTACAGCTCTTGTCAACCACCACAGGTTAGGAAGGATCTATTTCTGCGAGCAGGTTACTCCAAACTCCCTTGCTGACTTGTCACAGCCTCCCTGCGAGCCCCGGTGCTAGGCTCTGGGGAAGGCAGGGCTGAGCAGCAGTTCCCAAAACGCAGTCGCAAGCAGAGAGGTGGGAACCTGTGTGCGAGCTGGATCCCCGGCCTGGCGGCACGAGTCCCTTCCTCGCCTCTCCCAGCCCAAACGCAGACGTTCGGTCAGCTGAAACAGCAGCTCCCCGCGCGCCGCATCGTACCACGAGAGAACCCCCGGGCAGCTCCTCAGCGGACACAGCCGGGGATGCGAATTGCTCCTCCCTGGGAGACCAGTCTCTCCCAGCCTGCCAGAGATCGCCCATGTCTGTAGGAAACTACCTCCGCTTACGACGGCGGGCGCTGCCAGTCGC